AGTTCTATTTCCAAAGGTTTAAAATACAACCACATAGGTGAGACTAGCGCGCGATAATATAGCAATTTAGCATTACAGCTGTGAAAAAGTTACAGCGAACACACATAGTGAAGGCTCATGTGCATCTATTACGTGCTGATCAAGTGGAGAGCTATAGATTTTTTTTAGAACTGAGTTAAAATTTTTGAGGCAATTAATGTTTTAGATATTGGCTTCAATCTTCATGCAGTTTACAATTTATGCGGATATCTGACACTCGTTTTGTAGAGCATGCTTTGCTTTATCGAGTAAGCGGTTGCAGGAGAACGTTGCTTTTGCTCCAACCTTACGTGTTTAAAACTGATAATTTGATTTCAAAATTTGCGGAGCAGAAAGACGTGCGATACGACCTCAGAAGCTGTCGATGCGGTCGAATGCGATTTATAGACGTTTTCTTTTACCGAAATGACAAAGATCAGTCGTTTCGTATTTCCAGTGCTCGCTTGTAATTACTCATCCAGCCTTTGCAGCTTTCAGTCCTTCCTCTATCAATGGCATTTGGTTGATTAAAGGCAGTGTTCGGGCAAAAAGTCGATTCTGAGATTTGGTGCTTACTAGGGCCTATTCGCTATGCTGAATCCGAAAATCCACACTGGAAAGCGCGAAAACGGCCAAAAAGGGCTCTAACGTAGGCGTGAAATCAAAAGGGGGCGGGGTCTTCCCCACGGTGAGTTCACGGTCCCAGCTTCCGGAGCGATCTTCTCGCTTCCGATCTCAGATCATGCGTTCGCATTTGGTCTGTGGAGATGTCAGGGCGGTTAGCGGAATTAAAGAGATTGCTCCGGAAGCTGGGACCGTGATTTCACCGTGGGGGAAACCCCGCCCACTTTTGATTTCACTCCTATGTTAGAGCCCTTTTTCGCCGTTTTCGCGCTTTCCAGTGTTGATTTTCGGATTCAGCATAGCGAATAGGCCCTAGTAAGCACCAAATCTCAGAATCGACTTTTTGCCCGGACACTGCCTTTAAGGTGTCTAAGGCTTTGGCCATACTTTATCCGTGTTACCCATGTTACCGGTATCACCTGTTAGTCGTGTTACTGTGTTACAAGGTAACACGAGTAACACTAACACGAGTAACACGGGTATTACGCGTGTTACTCGTGTTACTGGTGTTATTAGTGTTACCGCTTTTATTGCTGTTAAATAGTAAAATGGTCCACAATACAGTCTCATTTTTGAACGCGATATCACTGACTGGTGAGTAACACGAGTAACACTAGTAACACTAAAACACAAGTAACACGGGTAGCACTGGTAACACGGGTAACACGAGTACACGAGTAGCACTACTAATACCGGTGACACGGGTAACACGGCCAAAGCCTAAGGAAACGTTGCAAAGTGTCGGATGACATAAACTAATGCTGAGCATGTTTCCAAGGAACAAACAGATTTTGATTTGATGAGGTTCTTACTCAATGTTTCTGCGAACAGTAACTCATCATGGAATTGACTACTCGGAAATGATACTTGGTCACCCCGGCCATGTGGAATGCGATGTATACCATAAGGTGCATCTCGAAACGCTGATTCCAAATCTGTGTTCGAAATCTGCGAAACGATCATTTGAAGGCAATTATGAACTTTTTTTCGTAGAAAATATGCGTACTTTTAGGTAGTTAAAATCACCCAATTTGATCTATTTTACCGTTTGAAGCTAGGAGGATCTTGAAAGGTGTAAGTTGTATTTTTATCTATTCAGACAATATTCAGGATTTGAAGAGGCAAGAAAAATTTTTGTTAATGATTTTCACCCTTCGCCGTAGTGCAATTCATTTTTGAAAAAATAATCGTAACTCCACTTAGGTTCTCGTTTCGCAGATATGGAAAACAGTGTGCGAACCAGCATCAAAGGGCGCATTTTTTGATATACAAACCATTATGAATGGCCGGAGTAACCAAGTATCGTTCTCTGCTAAGATATAGCAGACATTGCAAGGAAGCTGTAGTCCACTGAGATCTAGATGCAATACAAAACATTAAATGTCGCTGTCATCTTTATAGTAAAGGGTACAAAAGCCAGTTATCGGGTAAGAAATGCCATATTTTAGCGCTCAGAGTTGCGGGAAGTAGTTTTTCATCCTTCCTTTCTAAAAAACTGAAACGACTGCGACTTTTGCTTGTATACTTATATTGAAACTGATGAAATTCTTGAGCGTAATGAGTATCATGCTTCGGGCTAGTGCATATGATGCAAAAAAACTACGCTTGTCAGGCAATAAATTTGCTTTTGGAAATGGAGGATTTGGAGTGATGTTGTCAATTGCCAACTTTAGCGGAAGTAGTGAGCAAAAGCAGAAACTTTAAGCGTGGCAGCTCTTCGTGACAAACAACGATGAAACAACACGCATTCAATAGCATCTATACAATTAGCTATGGCACAGCCGTGGTTAAGTATTGTATGCTCATATCCGCAGAATTGTAAGCAATTATTGTGTTTCGCTTTCAACAAAACTTTCACTCGACAGAGAGTCAAAAACTGAGAAGTTTCATAAATCAGTTACGTGTTTGGAATGTGACGTGAACCCATTGACAAACAATTATAAAACGAGGATAATGCTCATACGGAAAAGACATGTCCTTTCTGAAAAAAAATATAACTAGGCGACATGCTATAAATAATAGTTTGAAAGCTGTCAAGTCGTCACATGACGAAAGTTTCACCTTCCCTCTTGGATTACAAAGAAGGATGTATGGCATACTGTGGGATTAAATTCTGAGGCAGGTAGGGAAAAAAGTTTGGTCTTTGAGCAGACCGAACCCTCTACTTTGCGAGAGTATAAGTGCTAACACCGACTCTAAACGATTCCTACCAAACTAATAAATGTCACACAATCAGCAGCGTCTTCGAATATGGAGCAGCTCCGATATTATGTTTGCCAGGCTATACTTGACATTCCGTTAGGATGCTGTTTATTTTGTAAAAACCAACAAAACCGGGTGCAATTTTCACCAGAAACCAGACAACAATAAGTTTTTCGCTTAGCGCACAACCTTTTGCCACCCGCCAGACTGTCAATTCCATTTTTTTTTAAAGTCAGCCCGTCGGGTCCCAAAGAAATCGTCATTTAAACAGCGCCTAAACTCTACCAAGATAGAAACAAACGCGGTCTTTATGGGGTGCGAGAGAACAGAACAGATGATAATCTGATATGAACTGAGAAGTATAAGACAATCGATACTAATCTTTCTCCGGGTGCAGTCTTGCATCATTTAAGGAAGTTATGTGTACCGGGCCTTTCTGCAGTATTTCCTTGAATGGACGGTGCAATGGACTCGCATAGGTATGGTCGACCGTTCTGTTCTTGTTCAGCAATTCTCAGTGCAGCAAGTCCCGCCCGTCCCACGGACAATCTTTGTTCACACCCTATCTGACCCTTGATTTCTTGGAGCAAGTCAACCCTTTCTTGCTACATCTTCACTTGCAAGCGCCATTTTCCATAATCGGCAACATTCTGTGTTAGAAAGCTACTTTTCATAAGCAAAATAACCTGCTGCAAAGACTTCACTTTGTCCTTCAAGAATTATTTCCAGAACATGAGAAATCGAAGTAACTCAGCTCTTACCGAAACTCATTTGTAATTGAAGAGCAGCCCTTCACAATGATACCCGCATTTTGTCACAAATCGAGAGCTCTTCCAAAAAGTGAGGATAGAAGTCAAAACGTTACGAGTTTATGGATCAGATACATCCAAAGACGTGAATGCTAATGACACGCTTTCATTTCAGTCACTAGTAGCAACTTTTGGCTAGTTCACATCACCACCAGGCTCATACACCACAACTGCGACTCAAATTTCATAACGGCAACTACTGACGTTACAAGATGACTTCATTGCACATGCAAGATTTAGACTTTTACCCTTTATACCACTGGAGTAATGGAGGATCAAATTTCGCGTGACCGCCTCGCTTGGATCTTCACCTTTCGCGAGCGTGCTCTACAATCATTTTCGCCAGTCGACTGAAGCTTAGCCTTTTCCACACTCAAGTGCGAAAATAATGGAGGGCACGTTTGCGAAAGAGGTGCAGAGCCCAAGCAAAGAGGTCGCGCGGAACCCCAGCACCAGAGCACCTCGAGCCCCTATCACTTATAGATGCTTCTCAAATGCGGCAGAACGAAAGAGAATGTGCCTGCGATTGCTTCTTAGTGTGTGCAAATGCCAAATATTGATGCGCGTAATCATGACCGCGTAATTTCTTTGATAAATGTATAGTGTACAATTTGAAGCTTGACAGTGCATTTGCCAGGCCTGCTAGTTAAGTGGCTGGTATTTTGCCATGTCCCAGAAGTTGTTGCTGTCATATAAGTGAGCACTCAGAGGGACTTGAGCAAATAGTAAATGTAGCTGCACCAAATTATTAGCAGGTTTTAGTGTTATATGATTCATTAGAAGAATCCTTCGCGAAAGGCTGCAGTACCCAACACATTGTCGGGTTCGCAGAATGACGACCCATTAACTTTGCTTCCATTGCTCACAATTTGAGGAGACAATAATTTTTGGTCTAGATTGATATCTATAACAAAAATTGGATCAATTACGACTACTGAGGCGAAATCGTGATAAATCATTTGGAACAAGCCTCGAAACATGACAATGGAGGGTCATTTACTCCAAAAGGTGATGAAATCAAACCAATGTAATTCCGTTGGTCTTGTACGTTGTAATCTGCTAAAATATGCCTGTGCAATCAGAGCGAGTAGTATGACAACTGCTCAAGACCGTTTATGGAAATGCGAAAACTGAGCAGACTTGCACACACAACTTACTAAGGTCATCCTCGTATACGACGCCGCTGATCCACGAATATGTGCAATGGACTCTCCTGTCAAAGTGTTTCAGAATGAACCGCGAGGAACGAGAAACCTGCTGCACTAGATCCAACATATGTATGGAAAACAGATGACTCAGCAATCTTAATTAATCACTAAGAAAATAAATAGATTACAAGAACAAAGGTTATTTCCAAGATTCAGTTATCATGTTGAAATGTAGCTTCGTGTTCTCTGGTGCATCACGATCCAGCTTTTCTTGATGTCGTGCAGCAGCCTAAAGGCAAGCCTTTTATTCCCATTGTCGATTAATCATGTAGGATTAGCATAAGGCTGTCGCTCAGAAATGCCATAAACAAGATCAAAGAGCTCCTGGGTTCGCCATAGAAAAGACCGAGGGCTTAATCTTATAGAAAACGCAGTCAATGCAGCAGTAAGCCTCGTAAACACTATTGGAGTAGTGTAATTATAACACTCTCTTTGATGAAAAAAATTTGTGGGCAAAGCTAATTGTAAGAAGATTCCAAAAAACACACTCCAAGTGTCACAAGTAGCACTGACAAATTTTGTTATAAGTTCATGTGATTTGAAGGCAGTGTCTCACCAAAATTTAGTTGCCGAGATTTTTGCATTTTGCAGCCTGTCGGACCGTGTCTAGCACTGTATGGGCTCAAAATCGCACGAAGTTCCCAAAAACCCCATTTTCTGGAGGTCCCGCGGAAGCAACGTGGGCGAGTTGTACCTTCCAACTTCAGCCTCAGCCACAGTGGCAGCAACAGAGGGGAGGTGGATGCCAAGTGGAGGACATGTTCAAACGCGTAAGGGGGGGGGGGGGGAACCGAAGGAGTCGTCCGCGCGTACCCAGTCGCTCTGGGCGTACCCCTTTGAGCGAATTTTTCCCAGCGTGGAGGGGGTCAAATTGAATGGGACTTGTTGCAATCGCCTATTTAGAGGTCCCTATGATAGAATATGTGAAGATCCGCGCGACCTCAACTTTGGGGAGACAGTGCCTTTACTCACGGTGATATCTCCAGTACAAATTTGCTAGAAAGAAAGCAAGCTTGATTGGCCCATCCACCAATAAAACGCTCTTAGCGGCTTATGCTATGGTCTGGGTACTCCCCTTGCCTTGTTATGTCACATTTTGATTTGAAAGTTTTGCTTTACCAGAAAATTTATTTCAATAGTCTGAAGGTGATTTCAATAGCAGAGGCTATTATAAGCAAACTGTTAGCTCCCCCCCCCCCCCGATTTTTGGATAAAGTAATCGGAATAGCTTACGTTCTTTGCAACTTTTCTATAACTGTACCATAGTACGGCTGGCAGTAAGAGTGAGTATTGGGGCAGATGAATACTTACTAAATTGATAAATTTCAGCATACATAGCACATGACTGGTTTGTATTTACTTACCTTCTATGAGTGCATAGAATGTAGACCGGGCAAATTTCGGCTTGTTTAAGTGCACAAATCCACGGAGACAATTATAGAAGAAACTGTTGATGCAGCTAAGCAAGAAAAAAAGCATCAACGTTTTCATGGTTCTGGAATGTATATAATCTACTGTTATATATGCGCTGGAAAAATCTAATCCTACCTCAAATTTTCTCGGACTTGGTACAGCCTTGAGATTACTCCATCACTTACTTGTGGACTGCGACCGTGGAGAAGTCTTTGGCTTTTTTTCTGCAATGACTGTGACGTGATCTATAGTCAAAGAGTCCAAAGGTGTAATCTCGATACCTCAGCACCCACCCTGTTGATCCGCATAAGCACTTCAAATACGATAACGGCGACGATTTGAAGTGACAACAGGACGGAAATGGGTCCAAAAATTAGAGCTGATGACGAGAGGCTGGTGAGCAAGCAGTATGGCATCACCTCCGTTTCTGCCGTATCGTTTAGAATAATAAACATACAAACAGCGGCTGCGATAATCTGAAAGGGTGTCGTCCTTTGACCGTCATTTCTACAACATAAACTCTTTTTACTGATACGCATGATGCGACAAAATTGTTCTGAGACACTATCGCAGACCGACTTAACTTGGCCATAGACCGAGAAGCTATAACCAACCCAAACTCAGACAGTCGACGGCATACCTCCGGAGCAGAAATGGCAGAGCCGCGGGGTTTCCCCAGCGGGGATTTGCCACTCGTGCTCCGGAGCCCTCCCATTTTGTGCTCCGGAGCCCTCCCATTTTGTGCTCCGGGGACCTCCCATTTTGTGCTCCGGAGACTTCCCATTTTGTGCTCCGGAGACCTCCCATTTTGTGCTCCGGAAACCTCCCATTTTGTGCTCCGGGGCCCTCCCGTTTTGTGCTCCGGGGGTGTCCCAGATCTGGCGTACTTCCGGAGTGCGGGTCTGTGCTCCGCGGCTCGTGCGGGTCTGGCGTGCCTGCGGGGCGGGGGTTTGCGGGCCCGCCGGGGGGGGGGGGGGGGGTCCCGTCTGCCTTCTTGTGGCGTCGCCGTGGCGTCGCGGGGGGGGGGGGGGGGAGGCCGCCCCCTCGCCCCGCTCTTGGTGGTCGACTGGTCACTGGTGGTCACTCCACCTCCTTACCAAGGTGGAGTCCTCAAAATGTAGAAAAGCATATTTTTTCCTTACATTGAAAGTGTTTTGCACAGATTTTTTTGCCGAACCTGGGAAATGGCGTTCTCACATCAATATGAGACAAGAAAAAATTGGATTGCTTCAAAACATCAGGGTTAAGCAGACTGTTTCCTGAACAAGGCTTCGTGGGATGAGGACGTCCCGTATCAAAAATTGAAAAATTGTTGGACAAGGATGAAAGGTCGCCCATACCATATGCAACCCAAATGCACCATCTGAACGAATCTATACTGCGGAAAGATCCAAGACACAGGTTCAGTGGGTTTTTCCGCATAAAAATATGGCTCCACACGGAAATTCAAAACTGCCCTGCAACGCTTGACTGAGAGAGATATTAGTGTCCTTACACCTCACCCCTCTGGATGGATCATTGTTTCTCTCTCTTGCGAAGCATATAAAGGGTCTTGTTCCAATTTTGAAGACGATCTCAGGCAATGGTCAAACGACATTTTTGGGATCAGACTCGCTGAACTTCGCAAAAACGGAATTAAAAGTCCGACGGCAATGAGGCAGAAGGTTGTGGGCAACAAAGAACATGTACTGTCAAACGAATTTTGACAGAATTTTGTCATTTCGTTGGTTCATGAAAACGCTACAAACTTACGGAACGAATCAACACTTTGCGGGGGGGGGGGATTCAACATTCAAGGAAAGTGTTTGTCCCCCCCCCCCCCCCAAATAGAAAAGTTGTCGGACCACCACTACATCAAAGAGCTTCTTCAGCGCTCTTTTTTCTTAGTTAAATGATCTGGTCTATGAGCCCCCTACTGATGCTGTACTCAGCAAAAGTGCATTTACGTAGAATAAATTTCCATACTTAAATATCCCATCAAAGGACGTTCCTGATAGCTTTCTTTCTAAGATTATGGTAGCTTTCAGAATTTCACGTGTTGCTGAGATAGTAATTCTAAATACTGAACGAACCTGTACAAGAACTAGCACTGGTCCAACAATCTTGTTTTGTCCATAACTGTTGAGCTTCCATGTCGCAAAACATCTAAACAAGCGTAGTTAGCTGAAAATTAGCGTTGCTTTGCTATGTAACATACCTTTCGATGGACATTACAAAAGTTGTTGTGTAGGCTAAATAGATAGTGACATTAATTGGTACCCGAATAGCTAAACATCGATTTCGCGGGTAAAGATTGCAATCATTGGGTGTCTTTTGAAAAAAGACTACCAAATCCCAAATATGATTGGCAATCCTGGAAAGAGAACAGTCAAATGAATGTTTCAAAGTGTTTTTTGAGATTGACATAACTTTTGAATTTTTGGGTAACTAGCGGTAGGGAATTCTAGTTTACTCAAACCACACATTTCAGGTTATTTAATGATTTTGCGAACTGAGTATTGAATGGGCAGCTTAGCTTGAATACAGAAAACTAAAAACTACAAGATCAGAACAAAACGAGTTTGATTAACTATGAAAAACGAAAATTTGAATACAAAAGATTTTGACCAAGCTGATCAAGGTCACCCCCTCCACTTTGCGTTCAAATAAAAAAAACGAGGTAATTCAAAAAGTTCAAACTCCGCCCCTAATGACCAGACTCCTCCCACCCCCGGTGCAAGCCTCATAATTCGAGAGTACAACTGAGAAAATTCGCTTTTGTGATCGCATTAGACCTTGAGGGATAGCAATTTTGATTTTTGAATATCTTGAGCTTTCTTACCTATCGAATTTGAGAGTTTGACAAATCGTGCGAGGATTTTTTTCTGTCCGTCGAAATCATCAAAAGGGTCTGATTTGGTGAAACCAGTCTGGCCTTTATGAAAAAACGAAATCTTTGTCTTGATTTGAATATTACTTTTTTTGTAGGTTTCAAGAGGTCAAGAACAAATCAGCAGGGTTTATGGTTTCATACATCAACAAGTCTGAATTTAGCCCACGGAATTTGTTGGAATGGATATGCAACAAAATCACTCGTGTTTACACTAAAGCGCTGTCAAAGCCAAATGACCTTTTTCATGAGTGAGTGCCTTAAGAAGATGACACGAAGCAATTCGATGCCTAAAAATATTTGGTTGGAACGAAAACTCATGAAACCCTTCAAAATGAATGTGCAATAAATGAATGTTAGAAATGTTAGAAATGAAAAACGCTGTGTAGTATTGTTTAAAGAAAATTTATCATTTTTGTTTTAACAAAAGCTGCTAAATAAAAACAAACAAAATGTAGTTTTTTTTTTATTTTGGGCAAAAAAGCTGAATTCAGCAGCTTTTAACTGCGCTTTCATTCAAGGTTTATAACCTACACTTTCTAAGCGAAACTTATTCGTAGTGATCGGATTTTTCTATCAAGATTAACATTTTGAAGTATTTATATCAGAAATTTGGTCTTGTTTAAAACAAATTTTCCGATCTAAAATCTCGTGTATTGTTTGCAGCAGGAAAAAGGTTATACAGATTAAAATAGTTACATAAAGGGCCGGACATACTTCACGCGATTTCAGTCGCAACACGATTTGGCAATATTCCAAATGTTCATAAATCACTGTAAGCACATTTTAGATGTACAGAGGATAGGGCATTTTATCAATCCACGTAAGTTATACAAATTATGCATGTGCAGTTCCCTAGTGTTGGGTCTGAAGACTTCTGGCAAATTGCCAAATCGCGTAGCGACTGAAATCGCGTAAACTATGCCCGGCGCTTAGGTTAGGATTGAATTTTCTAGAATATTTCTGCAAGACTTACGTCAACCTAACAATTTGTTCGTACATAAAGAAAATTTAGACCTCCTCCTTGACTTCCTAGGACCAAGATATGGCAAACCGATTACCTCATACAAAGCCCTACTTACCTGAATATGTCGTGCGTTACCAGACAGCAAAGATGGAATACCAGTATCCATTTAACATTGTGATGCACCAGCTTATGCGCAAGTGTCGCTCTGATCACTAAAATTATCAGAGGAACAGCAACGAGGGCACAGACGACGTTAAGAATCAGTGCACATCGTAGAATCAACGATGAGGCCACATCATGAGCCTCTTCACACAATTCTTCGTTGTTCATAGGGCTGAAATGGTCCATGTCTTTCGATACCGGAAATGAACGTACAATATATTCGAACGGAGTACGCGGGAAATTCGAATTTTCAAATTTTTGAAAACTCAAAAATAATTTTAGTTTTGGCTTTTCCACAATTAGTGACACCGGATATAAAAGGCAGTCGCACTACACAAACGAAGAGATAGATGAGCCATGAAATTACGTTGTGCCTGGAGAGTGCAAATGAACTTTGTCTCCACCCATGCGTTGGTAATCTTTACTAAAAGATCAGCTTCTTTTCTTTATGGTGGGAAACAAGGAAAACACCGGTTCAGAATGATTATTTAATCAGTGATAGCTTGAAACCAGGATCATTGTAAAATTCTAAAGTAACAATTTGGACGACGAAATCATAACTTATAAACAAACAAACAAACATAAGACAAAAAAATCGGACAGAACTTATGCAGCAACCTAATGCAATGTCACTCATATATTTTAAAGTTATTGTTATTTATGTATCAGAAGTACATTCATTTGAAAGTAAGTAATTCCATGACTTTTATAGATTCAATATAATAAATATAAAGAATCATTGACACACATCTATAACCAAAAAAATTTCTTCTTATTTACACAATTTCCTGAAACCTTATTTTTCACAGAAATCCATGTACATAATTTTACTCCTAAGCAAATTTAGTACATACTTCTCAAAATTGAAAATAAGCTTCACCTTTCTTACTTACTGAGGAGTTCCGGAGAAGGCCTGTAAATACTTTTACTCCGTCTAAGGGCAGCAACGAAAAGGAGCTTTTTAGTTATTTACACATTGTGAATTAAAAACCTTTTCTTCTTATTAAAAAAAATTTTTCAAATTCATTTCAAGACTTCCTCTTAGTTTTTGGTTGCTTTGTATGTTTAGAAACGCTCATTTCAAAACTCTGATAACAATAGATCGTTTAAGGTTTTTCCCCTGGTTCTCTTCACTCAGAATTTCCAAAACGAATGAATCTATTTTAGTTTTTGAAACATGCAAAATGTTTGCGGTACAGTGGTGCTACAGAATACCCGTCGAAAGAAGTGCTTGAAAAGTTCTAGACTGAAATTTAACTGCTGCGGCAAATTTTGCCGCCATTTATTCAACAATTATTGTAAAAAGCCAGAGTGACTGGATTCTAGGGTGAAAGACTATTTAAAGATTGTTGTTGAAGTCTAGCCGTTATAAACTTTGCGTGCCCTCAAATGCAAATGGATTGAACGAACTTCTACAGATTTTTTAACCGTAATTTAGACCAGAAATTTGCAGACGGTTGAAAAAAGTGATTTTTGGACTTGAGGATAATAAAGTGGCTTCTCATTCTCGGGAATATCTATTTCGATGAAGAAACGAAACTTCTAAAACTGTGCGTCATGAACTACATTCTATGCGAATAATTATTATTGATTTTATCTATAAATTATGATTCTACTTTCATAAGTTGTATGTAAATCAAAGTAATAAGAGAAATTATCATGCGAAAAATAGGAAACCGTCTGCATTCGAGCTTCTTTCTAGCAGAATTAGGATTTGATATATCAAAAAACTTCGCCACACTTCATTTTGGATGAAAGTTTTGGTGCTCCTCCCCTCCCCCCTCTTGCTCTGTCCGCTCACCTCCCAAAAACTTTCCGCAAGCGACACAGTGCCTGTCCCTTCTTAGCGTTGCAGAATTTTTTTTACTACAAAATAACTTGGATTAGATATCAGAAAGATAAGCAATAACGGAAAGTTCCCTACACGCGTAGGGTCGCCGAAAGGGGACGTTCCACGAGGATTTTTGCGATAAACCATGCGTCACTACACACTGTAGGTTTGTAGCAGTTGTCCGCTTGGGTGGAGCCTATTGGAGACCCATTTTCTACATTCTTGTCCGCAAAACTGTTTAAGATCAAATGCGCTACAACGGCGAATCCCAAATTATTTACATGTGTTTAAATGGCAGTATATTAGCAGAGTATTCGATAAGAACAGCAGTTTGCGTGCAAGCGCACGCAACACCCACATTTTCCAATTAGCTCTCTTTCATGAGTTATGCACATCCTCAAGGAAAAACAACATTATCGACAAAGAAGTCGAGAATTAGCTCAATAAGAAGCGTCTTGCATGTCTTTGGAAAAGGTCGAGATGACAAACGCTTTCAGCTGATTGCTTTATTCATACAGGACAATCAAAAAACATCTTCTATGAGAGGGGAGGAGAAAATAGTTGAAAAAAGATGTAAAAAGAGATGAGCATCAAATCGTATCAAGTTTTTTAGTCATTTTTATTTTTGTACGTATTTCATCCTTATATAATATATATTAGGATGCGACAAATTTTATACCAAATAAGAATGGCAGAAAGTCATGCTTTTGTTTGGGGTGCTTTGAAGGGTATGTCCCAAGCAAGCGAAACCTAAATTAAGAGAATTTTTGTAATTGAATATGCGACCCACTGATTTCCATTTTGTGCTTTGGGAGCCCTAAACCTAATTCTGGACGTGAGTACGCGAAGCCTGCCAAGGATCAGGGCGTAAAGTCTTCGTGGGACCCTTCGTGCACTTTAGCTTGCAGGTTTAAAACTCTGGATGAGCGGTATTCGAGCCGCTTTTAAAAAGTTTCTTAGGCTTTTCGAACGCCTTCTCCAAACTGGAATGATTGTTCAAGTAAGGGGCCTAATATCACAATTACAAAAGCTCAACGCCCCCCCCCCCCCCCCGCCCCACTCGTTGGGGACTCTGCCATTGACAATTTCTGAAAATCAGAATCTTTAACAAAAGGTCAAAATCACGAATTCCTTAGAGAGACGTATTTTGATATTTGATAGGGACTTGTGCTGAATTGTGATACGGTAGCTGTACGGTACTTTCCGCAAAAACTCTCCATTATCGCCGAGTTCTGAAAGTTTAAGGTTCGCAAGCACAAAAATCACCTGCTTCCCAGATTCAGGAAAATATTGCCAGGTCAGGCATATTTGAAAGTATGTGTTGGACAAACGATAGGATGATAGCCATATAAAGATAAAGTGATCTACAAATTTTGCACTAGAACATCCATGAACCCATAGACACCCATTTGCCTAGATGTCTCCGGTATGTTTTAAGTTCTCATACACTCTCTGCCTGAAAAACAGAATTTGAGCTTTCAAAGACTCAGGTGAGTCGCCATGCATATTGATAAATAAATGCGTCAAAGCATTGTGGTAGAATATTTCTGCTATGTTTCTGTAAAAGAATAATAATTCATGCGCTTAGATAAACTGATGAAACGGGGCTCTTACATAAATAAGTTGCAAATAATGAGTGAGCGTGCTGAGGATGGTTACTCAGTTTATTTACTAACAAAATTTCTATTTTGGTTCATCGCCTGCAAATGAAGCTGTTTTGGCGAGCGTCGGAGCATGTTTGGAATCTTTAGGCAGCATTATTTCCAAGCAAGCAAGCGAAAACATTGGATATGACAGTTATTAGACATATATTTGTAATATACTGGAGAACAGCATCGGTTGGAAAAACACTCATTTTCTGTGGGTAGAAAATAATGTAAAAAAGTGCAATGATTGGTGGAGTAGAGAAATTTTTCCTAGGCAAAATTCTTGATATAGTAAAAATTTTCTGCGGCAGTTTATATCTGCAATGCTATGTCAGAACACTGCAGTGTATTCCAAACCAATAATATTTTTGATAATTTCATTTGAGTAGTGATTAGCGACCCTAAGGGCCGCTATAGCTGGAAGACAAATTCATTTGGGTGCAAAAGAATAGTCAACCAACATTAAAAGGTTCCCATTAAAAAAACAGCTTACAGTCCTATGCCCATAAGAATAAAAGTACTGCCTTACAAGTACCCTATAAATTACACCTCAAAAAAAAGTGCCTCATGGGCCGAACTGATATTATAAAAAAGGACTACCCTACGGTCCGTTTACAGGATGTTTAGAGATTTTCAATAATTTCATTTAGGTAGTGATGATGGTAGATGGTAACGCTAAAATATAATAATACAATGACAAGTTACAGCTATACTACCAGAAAGTTCAATGTTCGATGATAGCGAATTTGTTAGAAGGGAGCAAGTTCATTTTAGACATTGATTTTTCCACATGGATTTTTAGACAATTGCATTTTGCCCAACAATTTCTTACTCAGAGCCGCATCCAAAGTGCAAAAAATATTTCAAAATAAGAATTAGGCGCAATGGTCATAAAATTCAAAGCTGCGATTATTTAGCTGATATAGTCTTTTATACTCTGCATCAAATATAATTTATCTAATGTCTCAGAGAATAGATGAATACAAGGATGAAACTTGTCCTGAGTGAAGCTTTTGATTGCGCAAAAGCCTAGCTACTTACAGACGCTTAAGCATGTCACTTATCCCGAAACAGCTCCCTCAAGGGTTCTTAAGAGTTAGTAGATAATTATGCTTTGCATATGATAGCTCGAACATGGTCTGAATGGTGCTTCAGGGATGAATGACAACTAGCTGAGACTACATATATGTAAGCACGGATTTTTGCATACCAAAAGATCTCACATTTTGTTAGCAGAGGGGTTTTTCTTATAGGTTTGAAAAATCACTCCATCCGAGCTATAGTGCGTTTGTTCGTAAGGACTGATTTCATTTAATATTTTTGCGCTATGCTATGATAAATTGGACCAATAACTGCAAGAAATTGCAGCAAGATTTACAGCTTTTGATGTAACTTTTATTTCTCAGTACACCGGAACAGTGAAACACATAACAAACCAACAGAAAAAGAAAAGAGAATGGAAATCAGAGAGAAACAATCAACTGGAGATAGAAACTGTGTAGGAGTCTTCTAAAAGACTCACAATATAGGAAAAGGTCAAGAACTTTCGTGTACTTTAGTGCTTTAGAATGGAATGTTTGGAATAAGCGAGAACCTTATAAGTGTTTTTGTCGAAACTGACGCCAGGCAGTTACTGGAAAGATCTTAAGTGAAGAAAAAAGCGATTGTGTGGCTTCTTTTCTTAGTGATCTTCACAAAAACTCGGTGTC